ATAAGTGGATGTGGACAGTGCTGATGGTCCTGCCTGCGTCTCTTGTGGTATCTGCAGAGGGGTCTGCAGGATTGAGGCGTGCTCGTGCCGCCGCGGCTCTCCATGCGCAGCAGGCGAGGAAAACAGCACGTAGTCGTTCATCATTTTGATCAAGCCTCCTGCCGGGAGCAGTGCGAGTTTCAAACGCTAAATCAAATGAACCAGGAACATCGTTGTTTCAGAAACAACTGGCCACAGTGACCGGTGTTGACACACATCCTAACGGCTGATGGGTCCCCAAGGGGTAAAGAAGAGGGAAGGGGGAGATGGAGGAAATATGAAAATACATCACTGGAAAGCAAATCTGATCTTGGGAAAGTATGAACAAGAAGGACCTTTACTCCTTTAATAAAACTTCGGTGTGAGGAGCCACCTACTGAGAGAGGATCCGTTTCAAAACAGCATCTCTCACAGAACGAGCTCTTCAGCTCGCTTCGCTGGAGAAATGCCTTTTCCTGTGGTGATGTTTGCATTGCCCAGTTTGCTTCTTTGGGCACTGACAGCGTCTGAAACCAGGAGGGGGAAAACAGGAATTAATTTGAAAATATCAGTCCCTGTTTCCATGCTCCCAGTTTTCTCTTGACAAGAATCTGACCATGCAGCATTGATAATCTCCTCTTCTCCCGTGAAAACTGGAAAGCCCAGAGAAAGTTTCCAGGAGGAAGAAAAACAGGCACAAGATCATGGTGGGGAGATGATCTTGCCTTGAGCTGCTCTGCAGCGGAGATCCAGGGCATCGGTTTGGCATCCAGGTGGTCTGGCCAACACCACTCCCGGTACAAACCAGCCCTGACCACGATGGACTGGTGGGGAAGTGCAGGGCAGATTGTGATCCCTTGCCACTCCTTTGGGGCTGGCAAGATACGTTGGATTTGTATGACTAGACTGTGGGCAGCCAGTGCAGAAGATCAATTAAAATACCAAGCAGCTTAGAAACAAGAGCTATAATTGTTACACTGACAGGTCTTTGAAGGGGAAAGAAGCCATCACCCTGTGTAAGACCGCCTTTACCTTCATGATTTTTATCCCAGGGGTCTCGGGGCATGTTTTCTGGGTGTCAAGAATAGGTGGCTGGATTTCCTTTGTGCTGAGCAAATTACAGGCAAAGGTTTGCACCTCGTTTGGTGGTGTGTGAGCTTAGTCACCTCGGGAGAGCGGCCGTGCGGGCTCCTTGCAGGGCAGGTCGTAGGGGTGTGGTGGTGGCCAGGCTTTAGGAGCTGGGTTTGCAGCAAGGGATAAAGCTGCCTGGCAGGCAGCGTGGCAGGGTGGCCGATCTCTGTGACTGCGGCTTAGGCTTTTCATCTGGAGTAAAGGCAGCTCTCTGCGGGACCTGCAGCTCGGCAAGCACTTTGTTTATCAGTGGATTGAGCCTGCAAGCCTGGGAGAGAAAAGATGCCCTTGTGCACACAGACTTGCTGACAAAGTGATGGGCATTAGAGGGGGGGGAAAAAAAAAAAAAATTAAAAAAAAAAAAATCATACTTTTCTCAGGAAACACCAGGCTGCAACGCCTGTTTATTCTGTCTGCCTGTTTATTTGCTTTCTGCTGATTTACTGTAATATATCCAGCATGGGCCTTCAGTGATCGCAGGAACCACAGGGATTTCAGCGGGTCTTTAGTGGCAGCGACTGGCCCGCGGTGGCCCATCTCCTCCCTCTTCAAAGCAGCCCAACGCCATTTACTGTGCTGTTGCACAACCAAACCAGCATGTTAATAATACCCCGAGCATGGAAAGTATAGAACAAAACAAAGCATTGATGAAACTCTTGCAGCCTTTCCAGATGCCTGTCCACATCAGTGTCCTGCTGGGAAGTACACAGAGTGAAATAAGGCTCAGTGGGAGCCAGCCAGGGATCGGTCTGCTCTTCTCCTGTCTTTTCCCAGCCCGGTGGAAGAGTCTTGGGACACGAGGTTGCTCTGCAAGACGTGCTGCTGGCTGCCAAGGGAATGAAGAAGCCTGGTTTTATTTTTATGTAACTTTGGGGCCAGGGGGTGGGGAGGTGGGGGGAGGAAAGGGAAAGGAGAGACAAGTCTCGCTTTATGCTCTGCCTTAAAATTTTGGACGCACAAACTTTCATCTCTCCTTTCTGACTGCCTGCAACAAGCAATTCCAAGTCTTCCTGGGGGTTGCTGCTCAACTGTCATCTCCCCACCCCAAAAGAAGGCAGGAGGATTTGGGGTTTAAACTCCTCATCTAGAGAAAAATAACAATAATAATAAAGAAGGACTCTGCCTGGAAAGAGCAGAGGAGACTTCTGCCTGCCTGCAGGGAGGAAGAGATTTAAAAATATTCCCTGTTGACAGAGAGATGAGTTATTGCAATCCCTGAGCAGCCTGGATGGGTCAAAGCTAAAAGTCTGCGCTGTGCATCAGGGGGGTTACTGGGGGTCTGTCAAAAGGGGGCTCACGTCACTGACTGCTGCATTTTGGTGGGACTGTGCTCCTGGCCTGGTCTGCAGCAGTACCGCTCGCAGGTCTGGGACAGCTCAGTGTGTTTACACCACAGTCTGTCCTGTCTTGGTAGGTGGTTTCTAGCGGATGATGGAGCCCGAATAGGGGAGCTGGAAGGGACCCACACTCTCATCTACTGAGCACTGTGCTGCCAGCTCTTGCTGTTCTTGAGAGAGTCTTGCAGCATCTGGTGTTGTTTCCTGCTATTAGCTGCATGGTTATGTGATGTCCTCTGCTTTCGTTTTTCCTTTTTAAAGAAAGTTTCCAGGCTCGAGGCTGCCAAAAACATCTTGAAGGCAAAGATCCGAGCTCAGCCAGGGGCTTAGGAACAGGAAGGAAGAGCAGTGAGAATCCATCACTTCAAATCTCCTCTTCCTGGGGAGGCGGGGAAGGACCAAATGCTCCTTTTAGATTGCTGGGGTAGAGCCGGTGTTGCTTTGGGATAAGGGGGACAGGACAGGGTCCCCTCCTGAGTATCTTCCATACCTGCAGCAGGGACTTGGGGTGTGCAATACCCTGAGCAACCCATGCTCCTGACTGATGTGTCTTTCTCTCTGGCAGGGGGAGACCTTTGGAAGGTATTGCTTGGGCACCGAGCAGCCGTGTGCCGTAGCCTTGCCCCTGATCTGGAGTGAAGCCACTTCAGGCTGCTCCCAGTGCCACAGGGACGGGCTGTTCATCGCTGCTCCTGCGCAGCACCTGGGACGTGCAGCCCCAACTGAGCACGGCTGTGTTGCGTAAATGCCGGCTAACGAAGCTTCCCCCGTGCTGAAGCCAAGAGATGACATTGCAGAAACAGTCTAGGTCAAAATAAATTGCTTTCTGGCATTCTGAGATTATCTAAACCCTTCCTTTTCCCAGGATGAAAAGGAACAAAGGCTCTTGCCTGCTCAGGAAAGAACCTGGAATACCATTTCTGTGAGCCACGAGAGCTTATTAGGGGCAAGGGTAAACAAAGATATTTGGGGTTAATTTACTCAGGAGGGGGAGGAGGGAAGAACAAAATGCTGTTTTTTAAAGCCTGCCACTTCTTCTGTCAATAACAGCAGGTTGCTGGTCTGGGTTGTCGCAGGCAGCAGTGTCTTTTCAGCGTATTGACTGGCAGTCCTCGGTGGTTTCTCTAACGGCACATTGATTTTACATGGACTCTCTTCCAGCTCAGCAGCTGCCCAGTTGATTAAAGCGGTGACAGTGCTACCGTGTCACTTCTGACGGGGCGAAGGGGGCTGTGAGTCAGCCCCGGCTGGTTGGGGGGAGCTTTTTTTCCCCTGCCCAGGGAGCCCTGTGGCCTTTTTCCACTCAGAGGCTGTTCCTGGTGCTGTATTCCCCCGCTCACCCTCCCTCCCATCACATCTTCCTCCGCTCTTGCCGTCTGTTCGGCAGCAGATGCCTGTGCACTTTCGGAGCCGGAGAACGCTGGATGTTTTAGAGCTGTGCAGAGCTGGCAGGCTCCAAGTCCACCGGCACATCCCCATCCTGGGTGAATACAGCTGTTGGCAGCAGGCGGGAGCTGCTGGAAGTTGTTGGTACCTCTGATGGTGGGACCGGGTCTCGGCTCCGGGTACTGACCTCGTCCTCAGCACTCAGTGCTCTTCTCCTGAGGCAGCAGCAGCTGCCTGCTGAGGAACAAAACCATACAGGAGAAGCATCTAATAAACCTAGATGTGGATTTAAAAAATTTTAAAAGCTATTTCTTTGCTTAGGAAGTGGGTGTAGCGACCCCGTGTTGAAGTCCTTTCGCTATGGGAATGTCTCCTCTGGGTTAGGTGTGCATGGAAAAGGGAAGTCTTTTCCAGAGCTGCATGCTGGGCCTCCAAAGCTGGGGATTTTTTCTAAAGTTTCATAAGATCCTCATTTTTTCATGCCTCTGGAGCCAGGTGATTGAGAAGCTTTCTAGTGTGTGGTCTAGCACAGAAAATTTTCTTTAAGGGGTTTGGAAATGGGAGGAACATAGAGAGAGAAAACCAAATTTTTATTGATTTATTTTTAAATCTTATGGGTTTGAAATGCTTGAAAATTGGCCATAATGGAAGCCTTTCTTTTCAAAAGGCATGTAGTTCCACGTTAATGTTGTCGATGAAGGGCCACGGCATGAAGGGAGAATTCCTTGCTCTGGGCTTCAAAGCTGCAGACTGAATAAAATCCCTTCCCCCTGCTGCTGAACTCACTTTAGTGAGTGTTTTTCTCCTGTTTGGGAAATAAAGGAGATAGGACTGTAGCTTAAAGATAAATCTGTAGTTCTCTTAGCAAAATCAGTTCCTGCTGGGGTCCTGGCAGGAGCAGCTTGGAGGGCGTTTGTATCTGCTGGAGCGGGGCAGACCTGGCTTTCCCCCTGGAAGGAAACCTCTGACATTCAGAGGAAATTGTTCTCATCTGATGCAAAACTGAGAGAACTTTGGTTTACCCATGGAAATATCTTGTTTTAGTAAAGAAAAATCTAAAAGCTTTCATTTCCTCCTTCCCCCCCACCACAATTTGTAACAGCACAGCAGATTTGCCTGTTGCTCCAGTGTCTTCCAGCTGCCCGTGGGACTCCTCAGAAGGCAAGGCCATGCTTCTGACGTTATGGTGTAGACCTGTGAATGCCCGTGTACCCCGGTTTAAGAGCAATGGCCTGCAGCTTCCCCCTCTTCTATGGCAGAGCTGTATCCTGCACGGCAAGAGCATCACGGACCAGGCGTCTGGGCTGCCTGGGCCCCTGCCAGGTGAGCTGGCAGGAAACTGCACATCACTCCTTTAAATCCTCCACGGGGTTTGGTGGACATTTGCTGCTCAAAACATTTCTGTTCTGTTTAATTGTCGGGTTTTGATGAACGGCCGCTTGGGCAAGAGGTTTCCACCTCCCCTTAGGGAATTCCCAAGGCTGTCAGAGGCTGTAGGGGATATTTGGGAACAATCTTTTGAGTTTTTCTGTTTCCTCAGTTTTATATTTGGAGCAAAGACTTCTGTGTGGGCCGAGTCTTAAAAGGATCGTCACTTGCTTATCATCACCTAATGGTAAAACCTGGCTCTCCCCATCCTCCCCCTTGGGCAGATGAAGCTATGCTAAAAGCAGTCCCTTCTTTTTGTCCATCAGTGCATGAAAACAAAAACCTGCTGGGGGACTGAAGCTGAAAGTCACCTCTCTGGGCAGATTCGGAGCTTCCAGAGAGAATCCCAGTTCTCATCCAAAACTAATAGAGAGAAAATTTCCCTAGGAAATATCGGCATGGGCCAGAGAGCATTAAACTGGAACTTTATGTCAATTAATAGCCATATAATTACAACCTGTCCCCTCCTTGCTGCTGACTTCCCCATGTAATTTTCTTTTAATTTTTGCTTAATAGGCATGCATGAAAGATTAGCTACTCGGCGCACTGCTTGCATTTGATATGTAGTAGGCTCAATGGTAAGGAAGACTTAAACGTGCTCCATCTGTCCTGGGCCAGCCCAAGCTACAGCAAAGTGACACAGCCCGCCAGAGCAAGGATTGTGCTGGAGGGACTGCTGCTGCTTCTCAGTTCTTCAGGGGATGAGGAAACTTAAAGAAAGTGGAGGGGAAGAAAAAAAAAAAAAAAAAGGTGAGTAGAGCTGGTTGCTGGCTTGCAACAGGAACATAGCTTTTCCTCACTCTTCCCCCAGCCCCTTTCTTTGCTCTGAGTCCATTGCAGCCCCCAGCACTCTCCATTCTCACTCCTTTTCCCATGTGAAAATGCAAAAATGGCATCTGCTTCGTCACCCAGAAGAGTCTTCTCTCTTGCAGAGGGAAGAGTCCTTCCATGCCAGGCCTGATGTAAAAGGCAGAGAAACTTCCCCCAGCCACGCTCTACTATACCAATTCCAAGGAGGGGAAAGAATTAAAAAAAAAAATGAAAAAAGGTCAGAATTGGAGACTTTAACGAGCATTAAATTAAAACAGTGTGCAAGGTCTGTTTTGGTTCCCGGGCATGAACATCGTATCAACTCTCCACTCTGCCTGCTGTCTGATAACAGCGGTACCCACCGGCTAGGCTCAGCCTGTGGTATGATATGCAAAAAAGAGGGAAAGAAATAAAAAGCAGCAGCCTCATGTAGCCTGGTAAACGTAATTTCAGGTGTCTCAGTCTCTCTTGTTGCTCCCGTTCCCTGGCTCCTAGGTAATTAATTCTGCAGAAGGAAAAACCCAAATGTCTGATTGAGTTGCGTTACCCTGGAAGTGGCAGGCGGTGGGGGCTGGAGCGGCTGGAGCAGCGTGCTTAGCAAGCTCACCTGTATTTCCAGATGGGCCCTGCACAGGGAACAGCGTGATTTGACCCACAGGAGGTGACAACGCTCAACTGGAGACCCAGAGCAAGGCTGCAGAGAAGACTCAGGGGGGAAGGCGAGACCCCCTTTTGGGGACATCCCAGGAGAATGGGTGGAAACGGGGCTGGGCGGCTGGTGTCCGCCCGTTAACTCTCCCTGCACAGGACAGGGAGGTTTGTTGTATGCTCAGCCCCCTGAAAGTGCAGGTCCCAAGCCCAGCGTGAGCCCACAACATGAAGTTTTGGGGCAGCCCCTTTCCCTGCCTCCTGTTGCAGCCTGCTGCTTGGCAGGGTTTAATGCCTCGCAGGGCTTGCACACAAGCCACCTGAAGAAGCTTCTCAGGCTCAGCACCCTTTTGAGGGCCCCTCCCTGATGCACTCCTGAGGTAATTAGATAACTGCCGCCAACAAATATGTGCATTTAATAAGTATGCTAATTGGTATTGACCAACATGTGGCAGGCGCTTTGTCACATGCCAATTAGGAGTGCCTAAGAACTGCTGGAGATATGAGAGGCTGGTGATTAGACCTCAGGGTGGGGATCTGAGGAGAGAGCAGCTGCTAACTCGGCTGTGCTGGCACGTCCTGCCTGGGCAGGACCCTGCAGCCCTGGCAGAGAGGGAGAGCAAGGGATGGGATGAGCACAGGGGTGTGCAAGGTCCTGCTTATCAATCCTATAAGCATGCAGGGGCATGCCTGCGATGGATTGATTTGACTGGTAACGACCATGCACAGTGGTTTTCTTTATGCCCCCGGGGGTGTAGGGGGTGGGATAAAACACTTGGATTGAAGGGACCTGCTTTTGCCTGGGTACGTTAAGGCAGGGCTGGGGCAGGCCACATGGGACTGGGAGGAGAGTCCTTCGAGTTCAGCCTGCATGTGGTGGCAGACCTTGTGCTGAGCGCAGAAGAAGAGGGTAAATGGTCAGCCACTGCCTCTGTCCTTTCCCTGGGATTCTCTGGGCTTGCCCATGCTCCTCCTGCAGCCCGGCATCACCCAGTGTATTCAAAACATGAGCATTAGCTCTCCCGTCCCTTTAAGGGGTTTATTCCTTCATCAGACATGCATGAGACATCCAGCAGTCTCCCTCCGACCCGTGGGCACTGCCAGCTAAAATTTCAGCCCAAACCAATAGCATGGTAGAGAGGTTCATCCACAGCAAATTATAGGTGTGTATCTCAGCTAGATGCCTTCTTCATGAGCAGCAGGGGGAAGAGGTCCCGAGATGCTCACGGGTGGTACCACCTTGGTGCTGGCGTTGCCCAACTCTACCTGTGTGGCCAGAGCTGCTTCCCAGGGTGTCTTGCTGCTCTGCTGCCACCCACATTTGCAGGTGTTTAGCTATGGGGTGTCCATCACCCCAACACAAGCCCCGCTCCCACACGAGCTGCTTCCCACTGCGTGCCTGCAGCAGCCTCCCCACAGCGGCTCAGTCGCTCTCATTCACCTGGATTGGTTTATTTAGTGCAACCATTAATTAATTTTGTTTGGGTAGGAAGGACAAGTCCCCTGAGACTGTCTGTGCGCTGGAGACGGTTACTGCATTGGTGTCTGAAAGCTTCAGCATACAGAAACCTCTTGTTGCTGTCAGCCAGGCACAATTAATTAACCAGTACCATTCAGAAACTGCAGTCCAGTGTGTCTCTATTGTGTAATGAGGCTGGCCCTGGGACATCTTTACTGAAAGCCCCACTTGGGGGGTAAAAGGGGCTCAGCTACTGCTAAGACCCCAAAGCTACATCAAATCCACCATCTTTTCCTAAGAGGGGTCCCAGGCACTGCATGGAAGGGCCACCCAACTCTCCTGGTGGTACTTACGGGCTCCGACCTCCCTCCTGATGGAGGGCCCCAAGGTGGGAGCTAATGCTCCCGTCTTCTGCTGCGTGATGGCTCCTGGGGCTGTAAGCTCAGCTGAAAGGCCAAAGCAGAAGCTTTTGATGGTCCCTCTTGGCTTGGCCCAAATTGAGCCTCTGCATCCTTTTTAGAAGAGCAGGAGAGGTTGACCCTTGCTTTCTCCAGGCTGTGCCACCATCTTGGCACACGTAGCTGGTCCCGGAGCTCAACAGCAAGTGAAAAGGAGCAAGAGCTGGTTGGTTTTATATGCTATCAGGAGCACATTTCTCAGTAATACAGTGACCTAATCTCACTCTTATTGATTTTTTGAGCTATATATACACACACACACACACATACACAGGGGGAGAGGCACGCACTGCTGAAAATACAAAATCCTGAACTCGGGGAAGGGCAAAAATAGTTTCCTTCAGGCTTGTTTTCAAGCCCAAGGAAATGAAGGAGCACGCAGGTGGCCTGACCCAGCTCTGGGTGGGTGTATGAAATAGGCCTCTGTCCCCAGCCCCGTTAGCACTGCAGGAACATGGTCTGTGCTGTATTTAAGTAGGTGCTCCTTCCCAGTCCCAGGGCCGGAGGTATCTAGCTTCCCAAGAACATCACTTTCTGTTATTTCTGCTCCCCTCTCTGGAATATGCAAAGTGGAAGGAGAAAAGCCCCAGCAAATTATGCAGAGCAGTTTATCTGACAAGCCAGCGCTCTCCCAGATAACGGAACAAACAGAGTTTGTCTCCTGGTCAGGGTGACACTTTGCCACAAAAGAAGAGCAGGAAGAAGTTAATTAAACTCTAAAGAAGCCATTTATTAGAAAAGGAAAGTAAGACATGGCTTTTCTTCAATACTGGAGAAAGGTTCATTATAGAAGGAAACCATTCTTTAGCAGTTAATAAACTATTTCCTACCACCTGGCTTTGAGGAATGGATAATGGAGTGTCCGTGGCTCATTTTAATGTGCAGTTTTGCAAGGTGTCCATGGCCCATTGGCTAAAATGGTTTAGAAAACAGCTGTCTCTGAAAACTAGGGAGCTGGAGAGCTTGGCAGGTTGGTAACTGAAGGTAGAGCCTTTGGCGCGTCATCTTCCATTTGCCCCGCACACACAACTGCCACGCTGTTCCTGCTGGGACGTGCTGGTGGCGTGCTGTGTCACTGGGCAGAAAGGACATTTCTCTGTCCATGCCTACAGCAAAAACCAGGAGTCGCCTGCAGACCGGGAGCCCTCGTCGAGCTGGCTGGGTACCGGCTGGAGCACATCTGGAATGCTTATTCCAGATGTGCTGGCAGGGACAGCCTTTTTCCTGCTGAGGGCTGACGCTTTAAAGAATTCATTGCCACTGGATATATTCTAAAAACAAAAAACCCAACCAAACATGACTTTGGATGACAGGGAGCCAGACACTCAAACAGCAGCTATAAAGTCCCAGCTCCTCCATGCTGAGAAACCATTTAAACCCTGAGCCTGTTTGCTCCCAGCTGCATTCGATTTACCCTGATAACTCTCTCCCTTTGGGGTAGGAAACTGAAACCCTCTTTTTTTCCTCCAGGTCTGAAAGCACCCGCTTTCACAGAGGAGCTGGTAAATACCACAGCTACAACTCCAGAGAAGAATTTACAAGCAATGGAAAAGACTACTTATTTTAGAGAGGTTTTTTCTCATTTCAGCTTATGTTAGCTACGTTAAAATTCAACAACCTTATTATCTATAAAGCCAGTATGCGTGGTGGTAAATGTGACTTTCCTACCTGCACCCTCCTCCCCTGTGGAGGATGGTGCCTTGAGGAGATGCTTATGCACTTGCTGATGATATAGCATTGACATGCATTTCATCGTGCATCAATCTGGCTGTGTCTCCCTGAATTTGGGGAGTCCAAGCGGGTCCAGGGGAAAAAAAAAATGAAATAACAACATTTGCTGGCAATGCTGAGTTAATACCAAAAAGATTAAAATACAGCCAACCTCCAAGAATGGGAAAAGGACCTTATGATACTTAGTGAGCGGGTAATAAAACGGCAGATGAAATTCAAGGCTGCTAAATGAAAAACAATGCACAGGGGAAAAATCATTCTAACTTTACACATACTGTGATGGGCTCTGAACTGGCTATTACTGCTCAGGAAGGAGATCTGAGAGTTATGCTAGAAATATCTATCAAAATGACACTTCATGCTCCGTAGTAGCCCAAAAAACAAATATAATGATAGGAATTACAGGGAGGTAAGAGAGAGTGAAATGGGGAATGTTACTATGCTGCTTAATGAATGTCTGGTATATCCCACCTTGAATAATTTGTGAGTAGCTCTAGTTTTCCCACCACAAAAAATGGATGGGAAGAAGCCTAGAAAATTATCCACTGAAGGCAAGGATTGATAAAGGCAGTGGCCAGATATCAAATAATTTGTATTGTAGAGCTGAAGAATTAATCAACAATGATCGCTCAGTTCAAGAAACACTTGGTATCAGGAGCAGGGAACATCTAGAGAAGTTCCAAGAGGCAAACCCTTCACCCAGCACCCAGTTAAAAAGTAGAACTCTCCGCCATGGGAAATTATAGGTGCTGAAAGCTTACATAGTCTCAAAAAGTGGTTAGGTATTTTCACATAAAAGATGACGCAGTGTGTGATGAAATGGTTGTTTCTCCCCATCCCGTTGCAGAGCGGCCGCATGGTTTGGCAAACAGAAGGAGCTTCGCCGGCGGCTCGCTCGGACCTGCCCTGTGCCACCGGCAGGAGCCGATGGGACAATCCAGCCGGTGCCTTTGCCTTTCTGCCTTTTCCATCTCCGTCCAGACCTGCTGAGCTCATTTCGGAGGCTTCTGAGCAGCTGGGCGCGCTCCCAAACGCCATCTCTGAAATGGCTTCATTTGGCCCGGAGTGGAATTCCGTCCAATTCATAATTTTACTGTGAGTATTTTAAAAGCGTGCTGAAGGCGTTCGTGGTGTTTTCCCTCTGTCGCAAATCTATCGGGAGCAACCCCGCAGCCTGCCTGGGGGCTGCCTGCCCTCTCCCCACGGGGTACGTGGGATCTGGGTCTCCTTCCCTGACGCAGAGCGGGGGCAAGCAGAGCCCGGGGAGGCTTTGGCAGACGCAATAGTCCTCCAACTTGGGAGGTGATGCTTCATTCCTTGGCGGAGTCTGGCTGCCGGAAATAATCTGCTCGACGGTCCACTTTATGGCCGGGCAGACAGGCTGAAATTCACGGCCACCACTTACCAAAGAATAATGAAACATTTCCTAAGACGGCAATAAATACCTCCTGTCATGACAACACTTACCAGTGCCTCTTCGATCCAGGAAAATGTTTTAAAACTCAGCAAAGTGGGATTTTTTTTAAATGCCTCTCTGCTTGCTGGTTGCAGGCTGCTCCCAGTTGGGGGGTGGGGAGCGACATGATGTGGTTCGTGGCTCCCTGGGGACCTCCAGGTCTGACCCAGAAGTGGGTGCTGGGGGGTAAGCTCCTTTCTGGGCTGGCCCTATGGGCCAGGTCGCTGTGCACCATCCTCCTCCTCCCATCCGGGGCCTTCATCAAATGCCCCATATACTGATTAAAGCAACATGAGCGAGTAGCTTATCGGTTACAAGGGATCAATAACCCTTGGCTTGTATTCTTCAGCCTAAGTCTGAATACCATGGGGTGGGGGGGCGGATCCGAATAGTCATCACTGATCAATAGCCCTCCCTGTGTCAGCGTGCAATGGGTCAGTGGGTGAAGGTCATTCATCAATGCCACCCTCTCCCTCCCTCCCTCCCTCCCTCCCTCCCTCCCTCCCTCCCTCCCTCCCCGGCATCGCCCTGCGTCGTCCTCAGAGGCCACAATTAACCCGTCGCTGTAACGCAGAGCACAGCAGTGCCTGCTCGCTCACCTCCACTCCTGCCCGCGCTGCCTCCGAGCGGTATCGCAGCCAATTAGCGGCGCTTGATGAAAACCAAGAGAGCCGGGCAGACACGCACATGCGCTTGTGTGGCCGCCCGGGGAAGCAGAGCTGCACTTGAAAGATGTCCTGAGTCAGGAGGGTGACCGAGAGGAAAACTCCTTCTCCCTAGGCTGGTGGAATGGAAGAGGTTTGGAGCCTCTGTCTACCAAAGGGCTTCATTCTGGTCCAGAGCAGCTAATTCCCACGGCGAGGAGAGGCTGACGGCACAGCTCATGCCAGGGTCTGCTGGAAATACGCTGCACGCTCAACACAGCCGGCTTCTTCCCTCCGGGACAGTTTTACAGTTTTCCAGCAGCATGGGGGAGGGGGTGCACAGCATGGATTCTTGTTGTCAGGCTGATGCGGATTGCAAATAAAAGCCACCAACTAGCAAAAGTTATTTCCAAGGGCCTCCGGATCATAACATGAGGCTCAGGGGAGCCCAGCCAAATGTGGTCGAGTCCTCTTTAGGCAGCAGCAGGGCTGACTACAGTGGATACAAGCCAGTCTGCACTGGTTTCCCCAAAGGGCTGGGCGCCCTCCAGTCCACAAAGACAGAATTGGCAAGGCCAGGAGAAAGCTCCATCAGCACCCACCATGCTGGGGGCCTCATCCTGCCTCTCTCCACGCTGAGGTTAACCAGCCCGGAGCCACGGGGGCTACACCTGACGTCCCCCTGCCCAGGGCAAGGGCGAAACCAGGGGGAGATGGGGATGCAGCAGGCTGGGCCAGGGTCAGCACAGGGCTGGAGGGGTTTTGCTACCTCTGAGCTGGACAAGAGCCTAAGGACAGCCATCCTGGGAAGAAATGCTCTTAGCAGCCCTGGCCACAAAGGGAAAAGTTGATGTTTGGTAGCAGAAGAAAAGCTGATGGCGGAAAAAAGTGTGGGGAAGTGATAGATTTTTAAAAGCCAGCCAGTGAATCAGTCTCGTTGCTGTGGTCACTTGAAAATGGATCAGTAGAAATAAAGTGGATTTAAATCTGCAGTGGCTTGGGGGAGGCTGAGCAGTAAAATGAAGTGCGATGACTTGCCTGGGACCCTGCCGGGGTGCAGCCTGCGAGCGTGCTTTGGCTGGGAAACACGTCAGAGCTCTGCTCCATGGCGCGTCTAGCGCGCAACAGAACGGCGCCATGCACCGTGCGTCGGTGCCCAGCAGAGCAGGAAACCTCCCAGCGCAGCCTGGAGCGCAGAGTTTCAGTCCCCCACATCTTTTTGCCTTCCTCAGAGGCTGTAACAGCAATGGGCAGCACGAGAAGAGGGGTGGGACCAGGCAGCGAGGAGCAGTGGGGAAGAGGGAGGCATTAGATGGCAGCAACCCACAGAGAAGATTGACTTAATGGGATCAGCCCTTGTTTTGTTCTTATTATCAGCACCTTGGGATGGCAGCTTCTCTAATTAATTCCTTTGGTCTCTAAAGCATGCAGCTGAGGCCTGTGTCCCATCAGTGACTGCTTGCACTGGTGCTTCAAGTTACAGGGAGGGTGGGAATGACTATTTCCAGAAGAGCTCTTCTTAATCCTGCTTGAGGAGTGACCCCTTCCACGAGGCACTAGCATCTTCCAAAATCAGAAAGTGTTTTGAATGTGTTCAACTGTAATGTGGAATTTTCTTGCTGGCTGCATAAGTGCCCGGTGTGCTGAAATCCAGCCACATCTGGGTCCCCTACCATCACATGGCCACCGATTCACTGGCTTGGGGGGGAATGCATTTCCCTTGGTGTTCATAGATGGTTCACTGGGTTTTTAACGTGAAGGGGGAAGAAAGGAAGAGCTCAATTTATGCTCGTGGTATCACTCAGCATTTTATATGCCTTTGGTAAAGTTGTGATTGTTATCAGGGCTATCGAAATCTCCAGAGTCTGAAAATCAAGGTGAAAGCTTGCTTTTATGGATTATTTCCAGTCACTTTTCTTCTGGCTCTGCTAAAAATAACACAGGAATAGCTTTCTTCGAACTTTCCTATTCCCTCCTGGCTGGAACAGAGAAGGTCAGGAGGATGAAAGTGAAAAAAGAGTGGGGGGAAGGAGTCACGGCGAACTCTTCACATGTATGTCTTTGGATGAGATTGCTTGCTGGTTTGTTTGGGGGTTTTTCTTTGATCTAATCCTGATTAACTTTCTTTCTGCGTTTCTTTCCTTTAGCCGAGGTAATGGTGAAGGCTGAGTGTTTCAGTCCTTCTGGAGCAGAAAACTTGCCATTTTTAACCATTTCCTTTTGAAAGTTCATTAGAAGCATTCCCAGCTCTGTAAGTCGGTCTGACAATATTGCCCCACTATGTCGCAGGACCTTTATCCATGCCCTTGGAATGAAGTTGTGTTGTATATCTTGTGTTAGGATAGCTGACCTGCGTGCCCTTGCAATGGCTATGGGTTTGTTAAGTGCTGGTTTGGTGCCTAAATTTGCTACATCTTTTTAGTCTGAAGTGTTTCTATATGATCTAACAGGAGATAATGGTGCCACAGGAGATAGCCAAGGTGCTATCTCAAGGTGCCTGTCCAGGAGAGGAGAACTCCTTTAGGCCGCTCAGAAATGGCAGAATAATAGTTTCTCCCCAGAAAAGGGGAAAAATAAGAAGCTTGGTGCTAACCACAAGTGGGAAGGCACTGCAGCTGAAAAATCCTCCTGTGGCAGAGATTTCAGCTCATTACAGAACTACTTCAGTCAGCTGCAAGTTTCTGAATTGTGATGATGTTTTTCAAGCAAGGGGATAATGTGATGTTGTTTTCTTCAGCTGGTCATTAGTGGTGTAAAAAACAATGGATCATCAGGTATCCTCTCCCATCCATAAGCTCATATTGCTCTTAATATCCTTTCTTAAAAAAGGAAGATGGACAGTCCAGTGTCACTCATGAGAGAAGGCACCTTTGCAAGACAGAGGTTTGTTCTTGACCCCGGCCACCGTAAAAGCTCCAGTCAAAGTCTGTTTATTCCTTCCTGCCCACCTCAGGGACATGTTGCCCCTGTGCAAGGAGGTAAGTTGAAGGGTCCATCCCAGCTGCCACCTCCTGGGAGGGGACTTTGCTCACTGCCGTGGGTCAGCCTCTGATGGACGTCCTCCTGTCTGCAGGAGCAAAGGGAGAAGTGTTGTTTCCTCAGCCGTGACTTTTCCAATTGTTCCCTTTTCACCATTTCCTGGCTCACAGTGGTCTCTTCCCCTTATAAACTAATACTCTAATCCAAGCCTAAAAAACTGCCTTTCCCCCCCAGGCCTGCTGTCCTTCACGCTGGGTGCCAGCTGCAGTGGGAGATCACACTGCGACACAGCCGGTGCAGGAATTTCTGCAGTGGCTTGGCTAATGAAAGCCTAACTCTGTCGTTTGAATGTACCTCAGGTTAATTAGAGGTGGAAGCGGCCTTTTATTTTCAGTTGAAACATGTTCCCTGTGGTTTTGCCGCTTGCCTTGAGCGGGCACAGCAGTGCTGTGCGCAGGAGCGAGCGGTCTGCAGGAGCTTGCATGCGGTCCCAGCCTTACTTCCCCCAAAATTTCTGCTTCTGGGCTGCCCCGGGGATGCCCAAAGAGCTGAGCTGGCTCCCCACATAGAGGTGATGGCCCCCGCAATAATCTTGCAGCAGGTTGGACCCTGTGAAGCCAAGAGAGTCCAGCTGGTCCCATGGGGAGGAGGTCATGGGGGCTTTCTCGGTTTGGTGGCACTGCCAAACTCCACTAGCTTCTGTGGTCGTAGGTTATTGATCTTATTGTGCACCCATCCCAATACCGATGTGAGCACCGTGTTGCTGACGTATGTCGTCCCAACCTTTTCAAGAAGGATTTTTCAGAAACATCTCCGAGGATGGGAGCGATGAGAAGATAACCTTGAAAAATCAGTAGGTGAGGTGTGTATTTCTCCAAGGCTTGCGGTGCAAGACCTGACTCAGTGCAAGGCTTGCTGGACGAGGTGTTAGAGGCTACTTCCAGCTTTTGAAGTGGAGTAAAGCCAGAGTTTCCATGCTCTTCCTGCGCTGGTGTAAATGGTGCAAGGATCAGGCCCTGCTTAGATTTTTTTGAAGCAGCACCCGAAGAGGTCAGGTGTGTAAGACAAGAAGGTCACTGAGGATGACAAAGATGGTCTGAGGGGGGACTAAAAGAGAGCTGCAGCTAAACCTTCGGGGTCTTGAGACAGCAATAAACCCTTCAGCCACGGCACCCTGGGAGTCACCAGGACATAGCCCAGCACTGTGGCAGAGCATCCCAAGGCAGCCTGAGCCATCGAGCGGGGTGCCCCGGGTCTAGCAGCCACCTGAGGGACCCGCTGGGGCAATGCCAGGTGCCAGGCACAGTTGCAGGGACAACGGCCAGACAGGGAAGCTCTGGGGCTCTTTCAACAGTCTTCCCCTATGCCACTAAAGGAATTAAATAAGAATGTATTTATTAAAATGCATTGTGTCCTGCCGTGCACTGGAAGCAGCAGATACACAGCAGCTCAGGTAGACTTTATAAAAAGCAACATGTGGAAATGTTCGGCAAAATTTCTGCTGAAAAGAGGAAATATATATTTATGTGTGTATATATATAGTCCATCAGCTCTGCCAAAACTGTGGTCCCCCGTGCTTCTCCAAAGAGAAGGGCAAGATGACGCACAGCACACCTGGCAGGTAACATAAAGGTAATGCAGCACTGTATTTTGGGGGGGGGGGGGGGGAAAGCATTGTCATCATGAAGAGTTAAGCTGAAGCTGCAGCCGTGCTATGTATTCCCAAAGACGAGAGCCAGACAGGCCCTTCCAGGAGACACAGACACCAGTGGAGCAGGGGGACAGACCGCTTGGCCCGCTGTTCCTCGGTAACTACGTACCACTTATTTACAGAAGCATATTATGGGTAGAAGCTGATGTCGGTGCCTCTCCCCCGTGGGGGGACAAGTGACTGTGGAGATCCATGCAAGCCTTCGAGCACAGGTTAGAGCAGCATTGATGACATTTTTGTCTGGCCGCTCCCCTCACCGCTTCTGCCGACACGGCTTTGCTTTTGTTTCCCAGGCCTGCGATGGGGCTCTTTTTGCTTCTTGATTTATTTGGGTAGGTTTGCAATGGCGTGAGAGAAGCTTGGGTTGTATAAGGAGGCCGGAAGCAAGGCAGTAGAATTACATAGCATCATCTTGCAATATAGTGATCTACCTCGCTCTTAGACCAGGAAACATCTTCAAAATATTTTTTTTATATCGTTCAGGGGGTACAGAAGGGTTCTTTTATATTTACTCATTTTCTTCTTGTCTCCAGAATGACATGTTGGTAGGCATGCGGTGAACCTTGGCCCCAGTTCAGAGGCATGTGCTTACATCTCGAGTACATAAAGCAATCCACAGGCGCTGATGGGATCGCTAAAGGCTTGGCGTTAACGATGGCCTTAAGTGGGTGTTGAGCCTGAGATCCTATTCAT